AAGTAGGCTCATCAGCTTGTAAACATGTATTTGTGGGTGTTGATATTGTTCAATATCACTGACTTGTGGGATACGTTTCAGAAACTTCAGCGGAAGATAATGGCACAACCTCTGGTCACTTTTTGTTTTGTTTTGCAATGCACATGTAACATAAATGTCTTATTACGTTTTAAACATTTTATGAATTACACACTTTACATGTTTAATGAAAATGATTTCAGTCTTAATGCATTAAAGTCACAAATTATAAGATGCTTTGATGTTTGTCTTATAAGGGTCACGCAAAGAATTGTGTAAAGCAGCAACGAAGTCTTTTTCTTCATGCCTTCTACCTCTGCCACTTACACTTGGCCTCCCGGTGTCTCTTCCCCAAGCAAATCACAGAGCACTGCTTTCTTAAAGAGCTTTCTTTATTAAACAGCTGCTTCCTTCCCCCAGCCCTTTCTCTCCCTGCCCCCAGCATTACTGAGATAAAATTGACATGGTATCTTGTGTAAGTTTAAGCTGTACGGTGTGACGATTTAACGCAGGTATATATGGCAAAATGATTACCACAATGGGGTTAGTTAGCGTCTCCACCACCTGATATAATTACTATTTTTGTGTGTATGGTAAGATAGCTTAAATCTACTCTAGTAGCAAGTTTAATGTATATAATACAGTGTTTTTAGCTCTCGTCATTCTGTTGTTATTATGTTGCCAGCACTTGGTCATATTATAACGGGACGTTTGTACTCTTTGTCCAACATCTTCCTATTTGCCCCAGCCCCTGGAAACCACCCTGCTACTCTCTGTTTCTATGGATTCAGCTTTTTCAGATACTACATATAAAAGAGATCATATGGTATTTGTCTTTCTCTAGCTGCCTTATTTCACTCAGCATAATGCTTTCAAGGTCCATCCACATTGTCGCAAATAGCAGGATGTTCTTTTTTTATGGCTGAACACTATTCCACTGTGCATATAGACATCACATTTTCTTTATCCACTCACCTGCCAGTTATCACTTAAGTTGTTTCCATGGCTTGTCTGTTGTGAATAATGCTGCATGGAGCATGGGGACACAGATCTGTCTTTGAGAAAGTAATTTCATTTCTTTCAGATACATACTCAGAAGTGGGATCATACGGTAGTCCTATATTTAATTTTTGAGGAACCTCTATACTGTTTTCCATAGTAGCTGTACCAATTTACATTCCCACCAACCGTGCACAAGCCCTTTTATCCACATCCTTGCCAACATTTGTTATCTCTTGGCTTTCTGACAGTAGCCATTCTAACAGGTGTAAGGTGTTATCTGTGGCTTTGATTTGCATTTCTCTGATGATTAGTGATGTTGAGTATCTTTTTGTGTACCTGTTTGAGCCATAGGCTTTATAATCTCTTCATTTACGGACGGTCTGTCCATGAATGACCTCAATTATTTCCTTTGAGTTTAAAAAAAACTTCTATTTTTATGGTTTTCTGTTTCGTTTTGTTCTGTTTTGCCTGGTAACGTTTTCAAAGGGAAATACAAGATGGAACTTCAAGATGAAGTTTGAGGTAGCTGAGATGTTTCCATTACTTTTTCTGGATCCAGGGAATTGTGTGCCCTAATCTTAACCTAGTTCTGTCTGCTGAGTCCCTTAGCTAATAATTGATAATGGATTGAATTCAGCTGGGCAGTAGTCAGCTAAACGCAGAAGTGGGGACCCATTAGTTTGAAAGATACCGCCATTTGTATCTTGTAGCCTGAGAATTGTAGAACACGTTTTGTTCATTAGTGAAATTATCCAGTATGGTAAATGGTGTCAACTTGGCTTTCCACGAGAGTCTGATGATAACATCTCAAGACAATGTCATTAAAAGTCATTAATTTTTGTTTTAAGTTTATTTATTTATTTTCAGTGACAGAGAGAGAGAGAGAGAGAGAAAGTGTGCATGCACAGTGGGGGAGGGGCAGAGAGAGGGAGAGAGAGAATCCCAAGCAGGCTTTACACCATCAGCGCAGAGCCCAATTTGGGGCTTGAACTCACAAACTATGAGATCATGACCTGAACTGAGCTCAAGAGTCGGACACTTAACTGACTGCACCACCTGGTCGCCCTGCTAAAAGTCATTGCTAGTGGAGTTATTGCTGAGCCCTCATGGGTTGGAGAACACTGAAGCAGGTGGGTGCAATGCAACTGACCCTTACATCGGTGTGAAAACTGGAATCAATGATCCTCTGTATCTCGTGTGTCGTGTGACATATTTAGATGTGGGGCTAAATAATAATTTAGTATTTTTAATATCAGAATTTTTCAAAATAAGGGATCTAAGCGACATTGGCAAATACCATGCTAAAAATCTTATGTTTTGTGCAGTGTCAAAGACCATTTCTCTTTGCAGACAGTGTGAGACTTGTTGAATTTTTGTTGCTCTCTAGTGCTTAGTTTTTACAAGTGACCCACTGGGACTAAATTCAAATATGTAAGAGGACATATATGGCCAGCTGATTTTCAACAAAGATGCAAGGCCATTCAAGAGGAGAGGACAGTCTGGCATCTGCATACAGAGGAATCAAGTTGGACTTACCTTAAGTCACATACAAGAAATTAGCTCCAAATGGAATGGAAGGCAGGAACTCAGATACTTACACACTAGTGTTCATAGCATTATTTGTGCCTATAGTCAAAAAGTGGAATCAACCCAAGTGTCCATTGATGGAGAAGTAGATAAACAAAATATGGCATCTGATACAAAGGAGTATTATTCAGCCTCAAAAGGGAATGGAATTCTGATGCACGCTAGAACATGGATAAATCTTGAAAACATTATGCTAAGTAAAATAAGCCAGACACTAAAGGACAAACAGTATAGGAGTCCTCTTATATGAATTACCTAGAATAGACAAATTCTTAGAGACAGAAAGTAGACACATTGCGAATGCACTTAATGTCACTGAATTGGACGCTTAAAATTGTTCAAGTTATAGATTGTATTTTATGTATATTTTATATAGGTTATATTTATTGTGCATATTTTATGCATACACATATGTATATTTATATAGGGTATATATTTCATATATGAAATATATTCATATATGTATTTTATATATATTACATTTTATATATTTTATGCATAATATATAACATATTATATATACACAGAAGGGAATAAAATACTTCTGGACAAAGAAAAGGGTAGGTAACAGCTGAAATGTAAATCTAAATATAGGCATTGGCTAAAACTGTAGGGACTACCACCTTTAACAGACGGTGAACATCTTTGAAGGGAGAAAAATTCTTGTTTTAGGTGTATGCACAATTAGTGGGATATTGGTTAGCTTTGCTAAATGGTGTCAACTTGGCTTTCCACAAGAGTCTGACGGTAACATCTCAAGACAATGTGACCTTTTGGAGTCTGAGCTGGCAGATTGGCTCTGTGTGCTTAATAATAAATACAACTATTAGCACAATGCCAGCCGATGGTATGTGCTCAATAAATACCTGTTGAATGGCACGCCTAACCCTACCAAAAGTCACAATAGTTTACTTTACCTTTCAGGATTGTTGAGGAGTTGTGTATTGCACATTTCTTCCCAGTCGTACGTTTTATAAAATGGAAAAATAATCAAAGGCACTGGAATATTCCATTTTAAATTGATAGAAATTTGGGAACACGATTGTTTTGGATTAGGATGTGCATCTAATCCTGCAATTAGGATGAGGCTGTTATTGTGATCAGCCAGTTAGCTTTTCTAGGCTGCCCCTCTGAACAACCACCCATATTCGTATTGAATTTCTGTCAGGGTCCATCAAGCAAACAGGAAAAGAAGGGTACAGAAAAAAAATTCTTCAGATTAATCTGAATGAAGTTGGAATAGAAAAAAATATATAGACACTTGCTTAAATTATTTTAAAGGTAACTTGTTATTGATTACGTTTACAGTAAAAAAAATTTTGAAAATACAATAAAGATGTATTGAATACTGACTTTAAAAAATATACATGTATACATTTTACATTCCTTCAGCCTGGAGCGTTTGGCTTCCTCTGTCTTTGTTACTTATTACTTTTAAAATTACAAAGGACAAGATGAAAAGGACTTTACTATAGCGTTTTTGACTGAGTCTAAAGTATGTGGTTGTATATTTGACAGGGAAGGGCTGCGGATCTGAAACTTCACATTAAGGAATTGGTTTTCCTTTTTACCTGTGTTCAAAATATTTGGAATTAGACATTCAGTACCACGGAGTGGCTTCAGAAAAACTTTGTTGATTGATTCCTTTAATAGACATTTGAGGAAAAGTATAGACCCACTGCTTTACTAGCCCACATGTCCTTTCAGAGCTCAGGGTGGAGAGAGAAAGAGAGAGAGAGTGAGAGAGAGAGGAAGAGAGAGAGCAGTAAGCAGACAATCATAACACAGTCGACCAAGTGCTGTAGGAAGTCTAAGTGCAGAGGGCTTTGGAAGAACTGTCTTTGGAAGGGAAGGAGAAAGCTTTGCAAAACATGTGTAGCAGGTGTTTTGGGGGGAGGGGCATTCATCACCTCCTCTTTGCCTACCTCTGACTCCTTGCCAGACAGGCACTGGTTCTGGTCCACTGGCGGTGTGAATGGGGCCTCTCAGCGTTTCTGTCAGAGAGCTTTCACTCATCCATCGGGGCTTGAAAGTATGGTGGGAACTGCCCAGGTAGTTAATGCCCCCAAGGGCGACCTCCCACTGATGGGGGAATGAAAGCCAATAGGTAAATGCTCTGTCTCTCCACTTTTACAATAACAATTCTAAGGGGCGCCTGGGTGGCTCAGTTGGTTAGACATCTGACTTTGGCCCAGCTCATGATCTCACAGTTGGTGAGTTCGAGCCTCGCATCAGGCTCCGCACTGACTGTGCAGAGCCTGCTTGGGATTCCCTCTGTCTCTCTCTCTCTTTCTCTCTCTCTGTCCCTGCCATGCTCTCTCTCTTTCTCAAAAATAAATAAACTAAACTAAACTAAACTAACAATTCTGAGAAACATCCTGTTTCTGGGGGAACATCCAGCTTCCGGCAATCTCTTCGCAAACCAATCATCTGTGCTCAAGTGCTGGATTCAGGCTCTGTTTTAGAAGAACCCAAAGGAGGACAGAAGGTGGCAGTTGAGCTGGGAGGAGTCGGTTGAGGGGAGGAGTCAGTTGAGGTTGTGTGTGGGCCCAGGGGGCAAGGTGCCTTCCACCGTGGACAGCACTACAGCTGTAAAGTTACCCAGGATCAGGAGTGGTCCTTGGAGGCCTGTAAGATGATAGGATGTGTGGGGAGCAGTGGGAACGTCGGAGTATGCTGGGCTGAGGGATCTAGGAAGGTAGAGAGGTCATAGATGTCTGTTGGGGTCAATCAAGAAAAGCCTTATTAGCATGAGAAGGATTCGGGACTCTCGTCAGTGAGGTCAGGTAACATGCTCGGCCTGGATGCCATGTTCAGAGGTGAGAGACAGGAGACAGGGAATTAGGAGGATTTTAACAGTCCAGTTGAGACAGGATGAATGAGGGGGCTTCCGGTGTGAAGGGGGAAGACGTGAGAGTGTGGAGAAATGTGGAAGCGGCAGGCTCGGTGGACTCAGTGGTGACCTGGAGGACTGAAGGAGACCGAAGCCAAAGTTGTCACCCCGTGTTTCAGCTTGGCAGGCCAGGTGGATGACGATGCCTCCATGCGTAGAAACCTAGTCCTCAGTGTGATTATATCAAGAAGCAGCGCCTTTGGGAGGTGAATAGGTCACGAGGGTAGAGCCCTCATGAATGGGACTAGTAGCCTTCCAGAAGAGCCCCCCGATGGCTCCCTTGCCCCATTCACCTGTGGGAAATGCAGCCAGTGGACGGCCTCTATGAACCAGAAATTGGGCTCTCACCGACCCTGAATCTGCTGGTGCCTTGATCTCGGTCTTCCCCACCTCCCAAAACGTGAGAAATCGGTGTCGTTCAACTCACACCATCTATATTATTTTTGTTACAGCAGCCCAAATGGACTCAGACACCTCCTTGATGGGGAGGGATGGGCTGTCAGGTAAATTTAGCAAAGTTGTTGAGCGCAGGGCATGGAGGGAGTTGAATGCTCTATGAAGGCGTTTGGCTCTGTAAACCTACCTTTCCATGTGGGGGTTCTTACAGAAGAGAAAGAAGGTCAGAGAATATGACTTAGAAATTTAAAACACTAATCTATTTGCTATGGAGAGAGAGAGAGAGTGAAAGAGAGGTAGAAAGAGAGAGGGAGAGAGAGAAAGGGAGAAAGAGAAAGAAAGTGAAGGAGAGGGGGTGGGGAAGAGAGAGAGAGAGAGAGAGAGGATGAAAGAGAGGGAGAGAGATGGAAGCTGAATAGGGAAGGAGAAAGTCCCAAGTGAGGATATGATTTTATATGAAGTCTAGCTTGAGCCCGATCCATAAAGTCATTCTGCCTGAACCCTTTGAATCCTATATTAATCAGTCATTGGCCATATGGATGCGGAAGGCTGGGGGCACGCTCCAGTGAGAGTAAATTTTCTGTGTCCACTTGGTGAATGTTTTTGGGTGAGGTTAACATCTAAATGTGTGAGTTTTGAGTAAAGCAGATGGCTCTTCATAATGTGGGTGGGCCTTGCACAATCAGTCGAAGGCCTGAATACAACAAAGAAATCCAGCCTCCCAAACAAGAGGGAATCCTCCAGCACATTGCCCGTGGACTTCATCTGCACCATCGTCTCTCTTGGGTCTCCGCCTGCCGGCCTTCGTACTGAAACTGTGCCACCAGCTTTCCTAGCTTCCAGGCTGCTGGCACACTGCAGAGTTAGACTTGCTGGCCTCCATGATCGTGTGGACCGATTCCTTATGCGAAATTTCTACATACACGTTCTCTGTGTTCTCCTTCCCTGGAGAATATTGATTAACCCACCCCCTGCAGGTCTCTGTCTCAGAGGAAGCGGCTCCCGTCTGCCAAAGGCAAGTTTTCTGCAAAGGTCACAGGTATAAGCAGCAGCTGGTGGCTGGATGCCCCCCCCCCCCCCCGGGCGAGGGGGCCCTGCTGGAGCACCTGTTTGGACAGCCCTTTTATGGAGTGCTTGGACGATGATGTAGGAATAAGTAGCAAATCAAATTTATTTAGCTGCGAGGTAAGTTTATGGCCCTTCACAAATCTCTCCTCCATACTCTGTCTGCTCTTGCGGACCTCCTTTGAGTAACATTTATTAGCGGGGCAGCACAGGATGGCCCTGTAAGCTTCTCGCGATCTGATGTCAAAGAGAGATAGATGTCCCAAGGCCAACTCTTGGCTTATCTTCTGAGCCATGTGACTGACTTTCTGAGTTTGGCTTCCGCGTCTGTCTGACAAATATGGCGGATAACCTCTGTGTTATGAAGATTAAACCGAAAGCTGTGGTGAAAAACAAATGAATGTTACCTGTGACTACTGCACTCCTCTGTGCCAAGCTGTGAGTTAAGCAACTAAAAAAGGTTACCACCTTAAATTGCCACGAGAGTTCTGTAACCGAGATAGTATTCATCGTATTTCCTAACGTGGAAACTGAGGTGCAGAAAAATGAAGACGTGTGCCCAAGGTCACCGGGCCAGGAAGTGAAGGAACTGACATGGTTCCCAGCATGTGTCGGGAAGTAGAGCCCTGACATAGTGTTTAGCTTCCGAGACATAGGATTCTAGAAGTGTTGTGACGTGATTGTCACTCTGGAAGCAGGAGATCTTACTCCAAGGGACCTGAGGCTATAGGCCACTGTTGTGACGCTCATGGCCATTGGGGACGTTGCAGCAAGAGAGGTGAGGGGTGGGCATGTCAAGGACTCCAGCCATCTTGAGTCCGACCCATCCAGTGGGCCTTGTGTATTCCCACTGCCTCCCGAGCACAGTGGCTTGGGGAGGCGAGGAAATGGAATCGAGAGGAAAACGATACTTGTAAACTCGATTTTGGTAGGTCATTTTGTTATGTTATCATTAAGATGGGAATCTTTGGCTTGAAGAAGTCATAAACTGAAAACCTGCTTCATCTCTGAGTTTTCACAGATTTCAAGGATTTGGTCCAAATCCAGAGCCTCGAGACAATAAAAAGGCTGCTGAATGGTTACTGAGGAGAACGGCTGAACTCTCAGTGAGCTACTTCGACGGTATCTGAGGCATTTAATTTTCATGGTCTTGCAGTAAATTGAAAGGCAAATTATAAAAGTGAGGCTCGGTTTTGGTCAGGCTCCAATTTACGCGCTTCGGGCTTCTCCTAACTAGACTGTGGGGGAAGCCGGCTAAGAAAGTTTAGAGTTAAAGACTTTTGCCAAGGTGTCCTGTGTGAAAAGTTCTAGCATTTTGTGCTATTTCCAAAGGCGTCTCATTGTGCACTTTTGGGCCTCATATTATTCACGGGTTTGGAAAGTGGCCTTGGCTTCTGGCAGGTAATATTTTAATGAGCAAGTGATAAGTTGGAGACCATTGTCTAGCGCGTTTAGGGAAATCACGTTGAATCTTTTTCAGCGTTAAAATTTCATTATTGCGTTCGTTTCGTGGTTTGCCTTTCAACGGAGAGCGAGGCCTGCAAGGGTCTGCGTAATCATTGAGACCTCAGAGCCTCAGTTTCTTCATCGGCGGCGTGTGATGTGACTAACCATCTCATGGTGACGTTTCATGGAATCAGTGGAATTAATTCCGTAATCATTGTGAAAACTTAAAGTTGTTGGCATATATTAAGGATTTATATAGTCATCATTAACAGGGAAAAAAAAAAAACCCATCTGTTACAGGAGGAACCAAATCGTTTGTAATCCATGAGACTGAAGAAGAGCCATCTGTGGGTTTCAACCTAAATAGTAGTTGGACTCAGGTATCTGACTGAATACCTCTGAGGAAGGTGGCCTTTAAAGGAGAGAAAATGGATTTCCTGTCTACTCTGAGCTTCAGCCGACTCTGAGAAGGCAGAGGAACAGTTTCGTGGTGCATCAGGGTTCCGTTTTTACAACTGGTTATACACACAGCCCTCCTCGGAGGGTTCAAATGGGTAGTTTAGGAGAAAAAACCCATGTCTCTGTTCTTGAAGGCCAATTTGGGAGTGCATATTTGGGATTTGGGATCTCATTGGGAAGTCTGCCTTATTTAAGTCTCTAAAACGAACCCTTCTAATATGACCTCAAGCTAATGTGTGGGTTTGTTTGAATAACAGCTTCAAGTTCATTTCTTCCACCCGCCTCTCCCAAGCAACCCGAGACACAAGTATTGTTTTCCTGTGAGCGGTGGGCTGGTCAGGTAACAAATTGCCCCAGACTTTGGTTGGTGAAACAGAATTCAAGCTTATTTCAGTTGTTCTGGGCTTTAAAAAAAGAACAAAACAAAACAAAACAAAACAAAACAAAACCTTTCAGAGGCTACTGATGTGAAAATACTGTGTTCTTGTCAGGGATTCTACAGATGACAGAGCTCTGTGCCTTATTTTTCTCTTCCCTCCACCCCCACCACCATCTCTCGCCAGACAGAATAGGTGAAGAGGTTGAACTGTAGATCTCCTTTCTCCTGTTTTGCTGCTTGTGAAGTCTGCCAACAGAATCCACCTTGACAAAGTCAAGGACTGTGCGTTTAATGTTGAACTGAGTGAATAAATTATGCATGAAATTGTGCCAGAGTCTCTAGTGTGCAGAATTGCTCCTTTTGATATGAAAGGTTAATTCAGAAAGGAGTCCAAAATAGCTGGAAATTGTGGGGATAAGTGGATAGTATTCACTGTTGTGAGCTGTTATTACTAGAAATTGCATTCCCTCTCTGGCTTCCCCGGAGATTTCGCTTTGCCAGTGAATATAAACTGTACTCAATAGAATAGCATTTAGGAGTAACAAGAGTGTATGTCCACACACAATAAAATATTCTAATGGCGTTTTAAAAAGAAGTTGTACTTTTTCATGTATATCATGCACCCCAAGGAAGAATTTCTATTGCATTTAGGTCAAGAACAAGGCATATCAAACGTAATGAGTTTTGCGCCTCTATGCAAGGGACTGCCTGGGACTCCCGTTTCAGAGTCGGGGCTGGTCATGCCACTGATTAGTTATGCAAGCCCGGTTCCTGATAAAGCCCAAACCATCCTTGCTTAAAGAAGGAACAGCCCCCAATTGTTTTATCACTACATCTTACACATCCAGCTTTAATTCAATCTTTGGTAAATTTATGAAGCTCTTCAACCTGTTTCTCTTAAATGTCCTTTTTACACACATCCTTATATCATTTTTATGTTAGTTCATTATTTCCAGCAGAAAAACGTAGTTGTCTGGAAAGCTACATTTTACTTAAAATACACACACACATATTTTTGGAGCTTGTTAGAGACTCCTTTTTGTGTTTCCATCACAAGGGAACAGAATTGTGCCACCAGACTGTGGAAGTTGTTTATTTTTGTCCCTCTCATGTACATTTTCAGAAATCATCCCCTTCTTAATCTCCACTGGGGACTGGTAGTTTTTTCCTCTAATTATAAAGTGGTCTCATTTCTGACCTGGGGTAGTTTTTAATTTTAATTCCTGGCTTGTGTTTATAAACTGTTACACTCTATTATCCTGTTGGGAACATCGAAAGAAAGGCTTCGGTCCTCTGTGTTGGTTTTAACAATTACATATTCATTCAGTGTCTTAGAATGTATTTTGGGGGAACCAAAGATGCATTTTTGATGATTTTTTTACTTTCTGTGTTTCTCTTATCTATATATTTCACATTAGCGATAAAGCTTTTAAAACACTAGACGGATGACGGTGAATAGTGGTAGTATTTTTAAAAGTCTAATGGGAGTGAACAAAATTGATATGGTTACTTTTTAAAGGTATTCTTCTTTATTTCAAATGTTCATGTGGAAAAAGATAGAGAACTCTTGGCATAGGGAAGGTATTCCTACAAATTTTGGCAGATGCTGGGTTAAAATAAAGTCGTTGCTCAAACGCCAAGGTGCCTGTGGGTTGTTGTGTTTTTTTTTTTTTAATGTTATTTTGTTACTTTATGGCATTACTGAGGAGCATTTAAAATGACCAATCCTTACCCTACTCATTAATGCCAAGAGTGTTAAGTTTCTTTATTCTGCTGTCTGTGACTCATTAGTCTGAGTTCTGGACAGCAAATTGGCAAAATGGGCTCTTGTCACTGGAAATTGTTCCTTCTGCACAGTGAGAATATTCTGTGCCTGAGGGGTTGCAAACATTTTTTCTCGTGTGAACCTGAATGCCCCAGGCTGCTAAAAGTCCACAATTAAGTCACAAGGCAGTATGGAATTGTGTGTAATATTCCGATGACTTGATTACAGGGGTGTCTGCTCCTGCGATTCTAGATTTGATGTATTTAAAATGTTTCAGGCCAACCAAAGATGCCTTTTTGATGCAGTTTCAAATGCCTCCAGCAGATCAAACTGAAAAGTCATTGAAGAAACAACTTTGTAACATGGAGGGTAGGTATTGAAGGTAGCAAAGGTGCTGAGTGGTGTGTAATTATATTTTACACAATTCTGCAAGGTGAACTAAATAGTAGAAGTTTCCATAGAATTATGTGACATACACGCACACGTACACAAACTAAAAAAAAAAAAAACAACAAAGATCTTTTAAGAGGTGCTCAATCTAGCATTTATATATATTTATGTATGGATATAGGTATATTTGCACACCTTTATCTGCATACAAATGTTTTTACGTATATATCACATGTAATGCAGGTAATGATTTTACATATGAATGTATTTTACATAGAAAATAATTGTAAATATTTAATATAATTTTAAATATGTTTGAATAGTTCTAATTGCATGTAAATATAGTTTGTATAATTGTAAAGTAACATGTCAATGTATTGTTTAAACACGTGATTTAAAATGACGGTGACAGAATGCTCGCTTTTACCCCAGTCATTTTTTTTCAGGCAAAGAATCACCCAAAGAAACAATTTAGAGGCAAATGGAGAATCTTTTCCACAAGTAATTAATACCTTTAAAAGCATGTTTGAAATAATTAGGTAAGAGAATCAATCTCTTTTAAAAGCTTTCAATTCACCAGAGGCTCATTCACCAGCTCACACCTGCTCACCAACAATCCAAGTACCCTGACACCATCAACATTTTCTTTATCCACCATCCTCTTTCTTGAGGGAGAGAAAAGTAGATACACATTTTCTTAAAAATTTATAGAGCCCCTCCACAAGGTCCAAAAGCATGATGCATTCACTGTTTGTCGTGAAGTGAATTTTAAAAAAAAAAATTTTTTTAACGTTTATTTATTTTTGAGACAGAGAGAGACAGAGCATGAACGGGGGAGGGGCAGAGAGAGAGGGAGACACAGAATCTGAAACAGGCTCCGGGCTCTGAGCTGTCAGCACAGAGCCTGATGCGGGGCTCGAACTCACGGACCGTGAGATCATGACCTGAGCCGAAGTCGGCCGCTTAACCGACTGAGCCACCCAGGCGCCCCAGTGAAGTGAATTTTTAAAAGCTCGGGTTTAAGATTGCATGTATTAAATGCACATAAAATGAATATTTTGTTTGTGAAATATTAAACATGAGTACTCCCCCCCCCCCCCCCGCCCCGAGGTTGTGAAGCACAAATATGGTCCTGCCGTGCGCCTGTGCTATCTATGCTGGGACACTCTGGGGCTTTATTAGCTTTTCTTTAAATCATACAAATTATTCCTTTTAACTATAAATGATCTTTTCTGTTGCGAAGTTTCCTTGACTCAAGATAACTTCGCAAAAGCATGTGTAAGTTAACCAGAAATGCAAGGAAAAAGTAACTCTTGTTCAGAAGCGATTTATCTTTTTAAGCATCACTTGGGGGCGATATAAAAGGCAATTCTTAAAATGCAAGTAATCTTTAGGAAAAATATTATGAAAGGACTTTATTAGTATTCCGTTGTGTTGTGTTAGCATCCATTTCATGGGAAAGATGTTTCATTTTAACAAGATCCTCCGCTGCAAGAAAATTAATTTTTTTTCCCTTTGGCACAGCTCCAATCTTTCTTTTTTTCTTTCTCCTCCCAGTGGATGAAATGATCAGAGCGGAAAACACATTTTTATGAAAGAACAAATTTACAGGTGAATGTGACCAACGAAAATATTCGAAGTTAAACAATGAAAATCAAGTGATTGATGCAGCTCTTTTTTGGTGAACAGTTTGGAGTTCTGCTGATTGGTTAAAAGGAATGGCCATCTACCCCAACTAGTGAGGGAGCGTGTTTTAATCCACTAATGTTGCATATTGATCTTGGAAGATTTGCAATGTGATACGTGCGATAGATATTTTTGCAGCTGGTACCAAGTGTATCCAGTACTAATATTTATTTTATTATTCATTACATTCTTGTACTTTCCAATTTTTAGGCATAAAATTTGATATTTACCCTTGAAATACTGAAAAAAAAATCAATTTTCCTACCCTTTGGAAGTCTAGGAGAACGCTTTCTCTTTTGGTTGCAGTGTGCATTGGTTTCCTATTGCTGTTGTAGCAAATTACAGCAAATAAACCATGTAAATTGATTATCTTACCATTCGAATTCTCACTGAGTTAAAATCAAGATGTTGGCAGGACTGTGTCCATTCTGGAGGCCCTAGGAGATTGTTTCCTTGTCTTTTCCAGCTTGTAGAGACTATCCACAGCCCATGGATCATGTTGTCAAAGCCAGCCTTGTTACGTCCCTGTGGCCCTTCTTCCATGGTTCCATCTCCCTCTGCCTCTCACCTGAGCAGGCAAAGTCTCTGGCTAGGGACTCGTGTGCCGAGGTTGGGCCCATCCAGATAATCCAGGCCAACCCTTCACCTCAAAACCCTAAATGTCTGCAAAGTCATTTTTGCAAGGTAAAGTTACAAGTTCACAGGTTCTAAGGATTTAGATGCAAACATCTTTGGGGGATGAATATTTTGCCTATATGTGCAGAAAGGTGAGGAAAGTCGACAGCAACAGCAGTTGTTGCCTTTTATTTTATTTGGTGCCTCTTTTTGTGCCCTCTACAAAAGTGACCACGTATGGATATATAGTCGGCACCCAACAATTATTTGTTGGGTAACTGAATGAAAGATTGATCGATTCTCATCTGTTTTCATCAGACGGCATTATTTAGAGCAGGTAGCTGAAGTGGGAGGGCATTTCAGGACTGGTCACCACCAGAGACATGGGAAGGTTTTACAGGGGTTTACTGACAGGTGTAAGCAAATCCCGGGCTTGGTATGACGTTTTGTCAGAGGTGTGGGGGTATAATCAAACTAAGTGTCAAGTGTTCAGGTAAAGTCACAGTTCACACTCAGAGGTCTGAGTGCAAGCCTTGTACATCTGTTCCCTGAAGGAAACAGTGAGCAGAAGGTACATGATTCTGAGTATTCCTTCAATCTGTAAAATACAGGGAAGGGACCAAAGAAAGCTCTGCGCACACAGGGCACCTAGAGTAATCTGGTGTCACGGATGATTCTTCTTGGTCACGGTGAACAGGGTTGTGAAGTTTCTTGTATCTCCTGAGGATTAGTGGTCATGAACCTTGGGTTTGAGAGTAAGCCAAGCACACACCTGCCTTTGTTCCTACTTTAGAGATGGAAACCTGAAGGGAAAAGTGTTGGGATTTGGACCATCAGACCTGCATTCAGATCTTGCATCACTGGGTGACATAATGTATTTATAAAATATGATAATATCTACCTTATGGATCAGGGGAGGGGTTAAAGATATCTTTATAAAGCTTTAGTGCAGGAACAATAAAGCAGCCACTCCATAACAGGTTCTCACTATTATTGTTCCTATAAAACTTCTCACCCAGCTTCTCATTTTGTCAGTGTTGTGTTTTTTAAAAATAGTATTCCTCTCAGATAATTAAGGGACTTAGCTAGTTAAGAGTTTAGGTTCTGGATTTATTCATTCATTTAGTTTCATTTTTTTCACACATTCCAGCATTTTCTATTACTGATTATTCACTGTGCAGTGGGCTGTGAATACGATAATGAAGAGAACAGATGTGGTCTTTTGCCTCATAGTGCTTTCACTCTAATGGAAGGGAGAGGCCATTAAGGAAACAAACAGATTAAAGTTCAAATCCTGATGCTTCAACTTATCAGGTGTGTGGTCCTGGGCAGTTGACTGAACCTCTCTGAATCTGTTTCCTGGGGTTAACAGAGCATAACTTGAAACATTAAATTACATCATGCATAGAAATGTTTAGCACAGTCCTTGGCACGTAAGAATTATTCTTTTTTCATTTTTAAAATTATTATTTAGTACCTAAAGAAGTCATGGTACTATTTTCTTTTGTTATTTTTTCCGGTTTATTTATTTTGAGAGAGAGAGAGAGAGAGAGAGAGAGAGAGAGAGAGAGAGAATCCCAAGCAGGTTCCATGCTGTCAACACAGAGCCCGATGCAGGGCTCGAACCCATGAACTGTGAGATCAAGACCTGAGCTGAAACCAAGAGTGGGACACTTAACTGACTGAGCTACCCAGGTGCCTTGATGTGGTCCTATTTTTGATGAAGAAGTTATACCTTTTATAGGGAAAGCACCAAATAGCATATAAACTTTTAAAAAAGTGCAGCTGTGTTCTAATCTTCCCTCCCTGATTCCTTAAGCTCAGTATTTTAGGGAATACTACTAATATGATGGCTCTCTTTTTTTTTTTTTTTTTCAACGTTTATTTATTTTTGGGACAGAGAGAGACAGAGCATGAGCCGGGAAAGGGCAGAGAGAGAAGGAGACACAGAATCCAAGGCAGGCTCCAGGCTCTGAGCTGTCAGCACAGAGCCCGATGTGGGGCTTGAACCCACAAACCACGAGATCACGACCTGTGCCGGAGTCGGCCGCTCAACCGACTGAGCCACCCAGGCGCCCCTAATATGATTGCTCTTATACCTACATGTATTCCTATTACTGTTCTTCCTACTCACACTTTACTAGGGTTTTGCTCTGTGTCGGTCGCTATTCTAATCCCAGTGCCTGCGTTGCGATACTTCATCCGCATCACAGCCTGTAGGATGGATCAGGGGCTGTTACAGAGCGCATTTCACCGCTGGGAGAATGGAGGCAAGAGAGTGAAACCCTAGGTCTACATCAAGGGTGTGACGGGCCAGAACTCTAACCCAGGTGTTATGACTCTGGGTCCAACACACCTCACAAGGATGCAGGATTTGGGATAACTTTCCAGGGAGGCCAATTTCATGGTGGAGGATGATGTGACACTAGAAGAGGAATATAGCCCTGAGATTTTCACACTGCTGCTCGAAGAGAAAAGATATAGGACTCATTTGCTCATATGTTCCTTATTTGATCAGGCTCTGAATGCCTACCCAGTGCTGGGTGCTGTTCAAGGAGATGAAATCAGTGCCCTCAGGGAGCACTCAGTCCATTGTGGGGGCAGGTAGTGACTAGGAACAGGTTGTGAAAATAGAGTGTGCTGCCTCGTCCAACAGGTCTGGGTATGTGGTCCTCAGGGAAGTTGAGGACATCTCATCTAGCCTTGGGTGGCCAGGAGAGGTCTCCTAGAGGAATTAAGTTGTGGGGAAAATTCAAGATTTGCTTCCTAGAACCTTAGAAAATTATTTACTAAGATATGCAGATGAACGTATATCGTAATAGTTGAACATACGGGCTTTGGAGTTAAAACTGCCTGCTTTCAAACTCTATGTCTGCCATTTTCTGAGGTTTAGACCTTTTCCTCATTAAGCGGTTGGAGCCCGCATCTGAAAAATGGGAACAATGAAAAAAAAGTACCTCTTTTTCTTTGAATGGTAGTGAAGACTATATCTAAAACTGTTGGCGCAAAGCCTGGTATGTGGTAAATGTTCATTTGTTATCATTGCCCTTGTCATTGGCATCATCATTATCATTATCAGTGTTTTTTTTAAGAAATATGAAATGGCATGATAGGTAACAAAGGGATTATTTTGGTTGTTGTTGCTGAATTATTAAGAAACATAGTACGTTGGCCCTAATTTTGGGGCTGGAAAAATTTCAGACAAGTTACAAGTCCCTGTGATCTTATACAAATATATATTACTGGAATTGATGTGTGCAAAGAGCACAGTTTGTTTTTACCCTAGTTGAAAATGTGCAATGACATAATGTTACCCTTTAAGATAACAGAAGCCAGCTGCCCCATTCATATTTAAATATGAGTCACCTTCCAGGGAGACTTGCAAGATTCCATGTGCCAAGCTGGAAAAGTAAAACTTGCTAGCAAGGCAGGAAAGAATAAATTCACACTTGGAATTTGGTATTATAGGCTAGAGGCCCCATCTAGCCAATTCCTTTATGGAGCAGAAAATAGCACCCTAGTGGCCAGAGAGAAGAACTGTAGCACCATGGCATCATGGTCCATGTTTTGGAAGCATGGAACCCTCCTCACCTTTGGGGAATCGTTTCCACTTGATTAAAAATATTTTGTGTAAGTGGTACACATGCCCAGGCACAAACAGAGTCTGCTGTAATGCCTTTTAAAAAACAGAGTGTAGTTATTTTTTAATTTATCCCTAATTTACCTTGGGATTGAGTTGGCTGACCACTTTCAATGTCTTCCATTTCAGCAGAGCAGATCTCAGAAGCAAAGTAAAGACCAACTTCTTGACTATTGGTCCAACGAAAGGAAGGCCTGAAATGTCAAATAATGTGGGTCTTCATAAGTGTTTGCTGAGAACCTATCAGAAAGGGGAGGCCTGTGTGTGGTACTTGGGAACAACATTGAAAAATTAATTATGTATGTAAATTGAATTGACACATTGACGACTGGTTGAGGTTAGAAGGCTGGTTTGAGGGAACAATCGGCTGCTAATTAGGGTTCCCCTCACGATCGAATCAGATTTGCTATGGGTCTGTCTCTGTAAACTTTTACCTGCATGAGAATTCAGTGGTCAGTAATAAAATGCGATTGAATCAAAGCTGGGAAGTCAGTTCAGTTTAAGTAGCTTTGGATAAACTGTTGTGTCTTGTTGCACAGAGTAGACCACATCACTGGCAACAGTCACGCTCACCCAGAATGGCAGCAGACGCCCTTTTCAGGAATAAACTTGTTAAAGAAGGTAAAACAGCAAGTATAAAGGGGAACTTGAATTTTGCCTTTCCGTCACATCTTTTGGAGGACAACGCAGCTATTTGAATTCTGAACTTCTGTTCAAATTCTACCACGTTAACAACATAAGTCAAAATGCACGTAAGGATGTAACAGTGAAGATGTTCCGAGTAGCGTTGTTTACTTTAATTCACACTGAACATAATATAAATATTTACAGCAAGGAATTAAGTAAATGATAAACACCCGTACAATCATACATTCTTGTGCTATTAAAGGAGCTGTTTAGAGTCATGTATATGGACATATAAAGATGGGTACTACAGATTACTAAATGAAAAATAAGGCAGTAGGTCTGATCTTGATTATCATAACGATCCCATTTAAGTGGCATATTTTTGTACACTATTCTTTAGATGAAAAAAAATTTATGGGTTGTCTCTCCTATTTGACCTCTTTCCATTTCCATTAACTTAATTATTAAATTGCTTTTGGTGGAGTTTTAATG